TTCCCCTGTGTCTAAACACATGCCTAAAGCTCTAGATTTCTGCAGGAGTTCCCAGCAAGCCTGATGCAAAGACATTCTAGAGCAGCCTTGTCCAAAGGGTACACTTGTGCTGCACAGCATTCATCAGCCACGTATGGAGACAGCAGCCTACGGGGTAGCAACTCTAACGCAGTCTCTATAAGTCAGCTTCTTTAGAGAAGACAAGGGTCTTAAAAAAATTCCTGCCTTTATCTTCCACAGAAAAAGCATTAAGGGAGTTAGCTTTCAAATGCCATGTTCTCCTGGAAGTGCAGTTCGTTTCTCCAGAGGTCCTCCTTCTTTACCAACTCCAGGGGTGCTGCTATGCTTCCTTGTGCTGCACACAGCCTAACTCCTATGCCCCTAAAAGATGGAACTGTCTTCTTACAGTACACCGAACCCTCACCATTCCCTGCCACCAGGACAGCCAACATGATGGGGCAGCACTGCTTGACCTGACTGTTTCTTTGATGGGGAGGCTTTTCTGGTGGAAAGCTGGCAAATAGCATGGACTGTTTCTAGCAAGCCAACCACTTTGCCCTGATAGTAAGATTCATTACATTCATGGAGTCCAGGGTTCTGTATCCCAAACCTCATGACACGGACTGAGAACTTGAACTATTTCAGGCTACCACATAAGCCTGACATATTAACAACTTGGGCTGTTACTGAGTTGGGTTAGATTCAAAAGCATGAACTAAGGTAAAAGGTTTTGTGTTCCATTACAGGCGCCAAACATTCTGTTTTCTTACTTGGCTTCTTTCATGACGGTGTTTTTCAAAGCAGTTAGAAAGCACCCATTAGCACTTCACTCAGTATAGCTAATGTGGGAGGAGGGAGATGGTGGGCAGGAATTATTATCCAAATTAGGTGTTAAGCTTTGGGGAGGGTTACAAGGATTAGAGTGGAGAGAGGGAAAGGAACTTCTGTTTCTAAAGCATGACTATGAAAATAGACACACTGGTAACTATGAACAAAATGGAAAAAGTAAATACAGTCCATAAAGTAACACCATCGGGAAAACAAATGTTCTCAAAGAAAAATTTCAGAAAGTGCATAATTCTCTGCAGCATGAAGTACTGAGAGCCAAGGTCTGTTTTTTTGGAAAAGTTCCTTTACATCTGGATCCCCATCAGACTTGGAAGAAGGAGAAGTCTAAGAGGGCTGTGGTTTGGAGTGCGCCGGCAGTCTCATTGCATATTGCTCCATTTTCTTTGTAATAATGGCAGGAGCTCCCCTCCTCTGTCTCACCTGAGATATTTCATGCAGTGCAGACACTGAGGAACTGTTAGAAGGCAAAAGCAGAAGCTGGATATTGATCGTATTGTGAGACTCAAATCACACATGGCACACACGCTACTTTTGAAGACTTGCTGTAGCACCAGGCATTGCTCACCTCAAGCCCTGCTTTTGCACTTCATGTGTGAGAAAGAGCTTGACACACATAGCAGCAGAAGCTGGAAAACAAGTATATACTTGCCCAATTCAATATCTGGTGTATTATGAAGACTTCATGTTCCAAACAATGACACAAGAGCTGTTAGTTATGTCAGACCATTGCACCGTGCAGCCTCCACCTAAGAATGGCAATGGCAGTGTGGTGTATTTATGTGTACAACATTAAGGAGCATCTCCCTTTACATGATCCATCTTAACTCATGTGCCAGTAACGCTGCCTCACTGCTCGGAACACCTGCAGAATTCCACAGTCAAAAAGTCATTGACAAACTGCATCTATCTCATGCAAATAAAGAATTTAAGTAAGTTTCTCTGACCTCTTCTTCTGAGCAGTCAGCATGAACTGAAGTCATGAGGCCCTTTTTTGACACTGTCAGGAATAATCCCTGAATATAGTGAAAAGGTATTACAACACAAAATAAAGTTTATTTTAGTTACAAATTCCTGAGAACACCATCACCAACAGACTGCAGAACAACTTTTGGGTTTAGGAAGTGATACATAATTTAAAAGTCATGTTCTTTGGGGTGACAGGGGAAAAAATCTGCAGTTTATTGCCTTCCAGATTCTAAATATTTTTTCAGTCTGGTGGTAAACCAAACACTTTTATGCATTTGTTGACATGTCCAGTGCCTTTGGCAATGTGCAAAATCCTTGTTATTTGGGTCAGACAAGTGTCCTCAAAAACAAGGGAACCCAGCAGGCCTTCCAAGTCTGCCTGTGCCAAACTCTGTTTGCTCTAGTTCAGTGGAAGTGGCTGTTAAAGATAATCTACAGCAAGCCCTGCTCTGCTGTGGCCTCTGCAGGGAGCTGGGTTGCCTGGCTCAGCCTCCTCCTCCTCTTCCTGACTTCTCAAGGTCAGACTGAGGAATCTACTGCCTTCCACATGGGCATGCCAAAAGGCAGCAGTCTTCACCAGCTCCGTATCACTGCCTCTTGGCCCTGGCCCCAGAACTGGCTGATACTCATTTGGCAATGCACCCTTATTTCATGCCTCCCTGCTAGAAGTCACAGCGGAGAGACAGAAAAACAAATGGGCCATAAGAACAAAACCTCTCTCTTCCCAAAATGTAAGTCTGTGCATAAGAAGAGCCTCTGGTGTCTGTATGAGCCTACTGAATTGAATGAACTGCTCTCATTTACTGCACATGAGAGATACATCTCGCCCTCTCCCCTCCAGGTACAGACTGTCACAAGTAGAAAGTAGGATTTAGATCCTTTGGTCCCCTCCCACCAAGCCCTACCGGTAGCCTGAAATTAGAAGCTGCTATCTCATTTGGCTGGTAATTGTACCTCCTTCAGAGAGGAATCTCATTTTACAAAAGTTCAAGAACTGAAGAAGAGTTTATCCTAGTCAGCAAGTTTGTTATCTTCAACACTCTGACTCAAGGCGGCTGAAAATGAATATGGTACATATCTATAATGGAAACTCTCATACATATGATGGAAACTTTCCACAGTCTTGAAAGAGGCTTGAAAGCCGGATTTACAAATTATTTCCTAGGCACCAAGTGAATACAGCCTTTCTTTAAAATGTAGCAGGTGTGATCCAAACAGCAGATATATTCACAGATACAAAGACAGAAGATAAGTTTTAAGATCTCAGACGTGGAAATACAATTCTCAAAAGCTAGTATTTGAATCAAGTGCTTTGTCTCTTCAAAGTAACCTTATGTTGCACATTGTCCTCACTCATTTGGGTAAAAGTATTTCTTTGAGTGACAAACCTGTAAATCCACTTAATAGCTGTGAGATCCGTATAGCCTTGATTTTTTCTTGCTTTATCATGTATGTCACTACACCAGCTCACTTGGATGAGCAACTGGCTCATTTTAGGTGTGTACATGGTAAGATCCTAAATGTACTTTTGAAGCTGCACTTAAGCAACAGCACACTATTGAGATATGAGGTGCAACCTGGGGAACAGCAGCTGTCAAAAACATCCAAACCAAACAAGCTCAGCCCACTTTTCTTGGTGACAAAGACATAGATGTTGAAATACATTTGTATTTACATCAAATATTTGTCACATACTTGAATGCCTCAGTTTGCAGCATACATAAGCAGCATTCAGCACACATGATTTCTCACTGCCACTTCTGTACTGGCAGCCGGGTAAACCCCAAAGTACAAATACTCTTCCTTTTCCTCTCCAACACTATGTGGCTGCTGCATTTATGCAATTTGCTATATGGTGTTTCTCATCCCAATGGAAAGCGCCTCTGATCTCCCTCTCCAGAGGCAAGGCACAGCCTTAACACCCCACAGATGTGCACACTATGGGGAAATCTAAGGAATTTGGGAATCAGTAGGTAAGGATGGTGGGAGAACAGGAGCATGGAGCACCCTTTCTGTTCTGCCCACTGTGACACCTGGCACACTCCCACCACACCCAGGCTGGGCCGCCCTGTGCAGACCACCGAGCACAGGAAGGACATTGTTCTGCACAACAGTACAAACGTGGCCAACATGCCCAAGAGGAAGCACTGTGGGATGTGCCGAGCAGCCCCTGCTGTATTCCTGAAAGGGACACACTGAAGCTAAGGAAGCGGATGGGGTGAAATCTTGTCCTAATTATGTTAATAGGAGTATTGTAATTGTCTTCAGTGGAGCTAGGCTTTCTCTGCAGGGAACCTGCCAGAAAATCCCAATACCCATTTGTATTTTTCTATTTCAGGATGAAAATTAGGTACAGCACATATTTCACTCACTGGTGTAGGGCTGTCACCGTGGAAACCCTGTTCAACAGAGTGTAAAAACTTTTACAGTATTGGCTGGGTTCATAGAGCGTTGAGCACCATTTTCCCCCATTAATTTTATTACAGGTATTATCACAGAAAAATTAGGCAACCTACATGTGTACAAATAGCTGTAATTATACACGTAGCTGCTATGTATGTCTTCTGAAACAAATCCTCTACTGTATTTCTCAATTAAATTCCACTCTTCAAACCCACCATGATCATATAAAAAGAACTTCTGTATTTTTCCAAGCATATACTAATTATGTTTTCCATTGCAACATTCAGGAGTAGAAACTGCTCCATCTTGCAAATGGGGAAAGCAGGGTACACAGGAGTCACAGACCCTGTCAAAACCATGCAGCCAATTCCTGGCAGATTCAGGAATGGAATCCATGAGTCCTGACTCTTTAGTTCCCCTGCTCTGATCACCAGACAACACTCCCTTCCTCTGAAATAGGCTATTTTGATTGAAAACAGATGGTGTACATTTTTGGCACAGTGTTTTTTAACTATATTAAAATGCTCTGAATGAATATGCGCTTATATCATACCCATGTATGTATACATGTATACACATGCATACTGCATCTATGCATACAGGAATAGGTATGAGTTAAGGACATATTAATTTACATATATCATATGTAAATGTAATGGATATGGTGAAAGATACTTAAGTGCAGCTGGACAGCTGACATACCTAAAAAGATAAGCTGTATTTTTCAGTGGTATTGTAATTACATACTATGTATTCTTTCTCTCTAAGCAACAGACTTTATGTTGTTGATGGATTGTCCACTTTTATTTAATGCACAAATTAATGTTTTTAATCATTTGATGAGAAATTTTGATGAGTTTCAGTAAGGGATGAATCACATCCTTTTTCATTAACTTCAGGACCAACCTCCATCCTAGCTGAACAATGCATCTAGTGAACACTGCCTGCATTTGTAGTGTTCTGGTTTTTTTCTGCAACTGAGTTATGTCTTTAAGATCATGCTTATGTTTAGGATTTGCTTTTTCTGTCATAGTATTTGCCTCTGAATTAAGTCTTCTCTAAACATTTTGTTTCCAGCTAAGGACTGGCAAACCTTGGGCTTGCTGTCTGTCAGGATCAAGATTTTCCCACACATCACACCCCAAAGGAGATGACGAGGGACGTTTTTTAACTATCCAGTTCCTCACCTGCAGCCTTGGGTCAGGTAAAGATGGTCTGCCATATCAGCTGGCAAACAGCTCAGGAGATCTTTTCCATGGTTGGAAATCACCAGAATGGGCTCATATCACTTGCTCTCTTGTGCATTCCCTGCAAGGATGGGATGGTGGCCTTGAAAGCTACTCACATGGGATACATCTCAGTTACAGCCCCCTACCCACAAACATCATTTCCACAACCACTTCCCATTGACTCTATTTCCATTTCTTTTATTGGTCCACTGGATTTTTCCCTTCACTTGCCACAAAAGAGGTAAGGAATTAAGCCTTCAAATCCACAGTTATGCAGGGGGAGTTGAAAACAGCCCATTCGCTTTGGGTGATAATCCTTTGTCTGCATGTTGGCCCCAGCTACCTCATGTCTTACAGGGACAGAAAGTGAGTTAAAATTGGGGGTGAGATTAGAATTCGGGAATTCTGTCCTTGCAGAAAGGGGACTCTGAGCAAAAATACTTACTTCGGTCTGTGCTAATTCCCGAGGGACTGACCCATGAACGTGTAACAGAAAAAGGAAATATTGTTGATACTCACTGCTCTTCTGGCTTTTTTGGTTCTAAATCTGCAGAACTCGGGAATCAGGAAATGCCTGCAGAAAGGTTTTGAGGGGGTCAAGAAACAGAACTATGCTACAGTGCTGCTTTATCTATGGATAAACAAAATATGGCCGCTTACTGTAAAGAAAAAAGAGCTCAATCTCTTTCAGAACTGCAGGTCAAAGAAATCCACAGAAAGTAGCACTTGTTTTTTCTGGTTTCACACACAGTGCTGTAATGTGATATTAAAATCCCCACAATTGTGTTTACAACATCAGCTAGCAGCTGTTAATGAGGACAGTACCTTACCTCAGCTCTTATCTTGTACAGGATGGATTAGCATGTTTATATTTTCCCGTGTTTGTTATGCTACAAAACTAATATTCTGCCACAATCTATTCTTAGTAAAGATTTTTTTATGCTAATTTCCTCTGTATCAAAAGATACAGTAAATGTATGTACTCAGGATAACTCTCTTGCAATTCAATACACTAAGCTATTTTGCTCTAACTTCGCAAAATGTAATATGAATTTCCAAGTAGAAAAAGTGTTAAAAGAATAGTCTGTTCTTGCAAACTATTATGTGGTAACCAGGCCTCTCTCATATCAATAAAAAGCTCTCCACAGTGACACCCTTGCCCTTTCTCTAGCCACTTTCTGCCAGGTAGGAATCAGAGAAATGCAAAACAGCCTTAAAAGCTCCATATCTGATCAGAGGAAACTCTCTCAGTGCAGGTTAGGTACAGACTTCCAAAGACTTTGTTCTAGTTTCCTTTTAATAAGCCATTGCAAAGGGGACTGAGTTAATTTTTCAGGCTGCTGTACAGCACGAAGGCAACAGCCTGGACAAAATCTGCTGGATTCACCCTGCAGCAGGCCAGTGCTGGCAGGACGATGAGGCTGCTTGAAGGAAACACAGCTTGAGGTGCTCTGGAATGCTGGTTGCATGTAGCACTGGATCTCCTTCCATTGGTTTTGGTGGGGTTCAGACTACACTCTTGCCATTCAAGCGCAAATAGGCTCTCTGTTAATAAGCTGCCTGATGTTTTTTTCAGAAGTACTGATGAGAATCCAGAAACTAAAAAAAAAGTCACAAGGAGAACGTAACATGCAATGTATATCCAATGCAGAAGCCTGTTTTTTCTACAGCTTTCATGATGTTCTGAAGAGTTTTTTCATGTTCCCACATTATCTCCTTATCTCTAACAGTCAGAATAGATACCCTGTGATAAACATGCACAGGAAACTAAGCCCCAGAACAACTCCATGATTATCCTGAGACTACTTGGTGAACTGGCTGGAGATGGGAAGGCTGCCCAGCTCTCTCAGTAATCCACCCTTGGCCTTAGTTCAGCAGAGCACTTAGGTACTTGTTTAACTTAAACAAGATACAGTGCTTTACCGTGAATCATAGACCTTTTCATTATTATCACTTTTACTGCAGGGTGAGGGAATTAAGTCTTAGGAAAGGCCTTGAAGCAAACGGGAGCAATAAATTCAACATCCTGCGGCTCTGCACCCTGGGTCTGCCAGAGTCCCTGACCAGAGGGAGGATGAGGTTTAGAGACCATGGCCCAGCTCATTTCCTCCTCCTCCTGCAGTAGACAGCAGTGAGATTAGTGACTGCAGGATTGCTGCTGTGTAGAGCTGAGCTAGCCATAGCTGGAAGCTAATTACACATCCACTAGCCACTCTCCTTATTATTTGGTCAAGGAACAAAATCTTCATTTGTTGAAAAAGCCAAAAAAACAGCCAATAACTGCCAATGTCTTTTTTTGAGAAGACACAACTATGGCTATCACTCTTCATTGCAAAAGTGCAACCTTTTATAGCATCTTCAAAAGTATTCTTTTGTTACAAATTTCAACTGGAAAATTGGAACTCCAATTTTCACCGCCTCCAAAACGAAATTCTGTTCTTCAGGAAGAAGCCAAGAAATTGATGGCAGCAAATGCTGGATTCCAGTTGATGAATGAGGCCGGACCTTCCTTCCTCCTGATGCACCACACATAGAAATTGTTGGTCTTCTGAGCAAACTGTGAAAGAAAAGGTTTTGAGATATAGCTGTATCACGATTAATGTTTCTATGACAGACAAATATATTCCTTGCCTAAAATTTTGCTAACATTCCATTTTATTTAATGATTTTAATTCACCTACAATGTGCTCTGGCATACCTTGGGACATTAAGGGGAGGCAGCAACAGCTCTTTGGTTAAGGCTGAAGCTAACTTCTGTTATAGCACCCTGTTTCCATCCCTTCATCATAACTTTGGCTTGGAAAGCTGCTTGAGTCTGAAGCTTGCCAGGTGTATTTTAGTCACTTTTGCAAAAACTGAGGAAAATCAGCCAAATGACTTTCAAGTTACAGGTTGTTAAAACTTACTGTGATTGGAAATATTTACTTTTAATTAGTATTTTTAGTCCTTGCCTGCAGTTTGATTGATTGAGTTGAATTAATGCCGTCGATAGCAACACTTCTGCCTTCAGAAAATTTCACTGTCACTTAAACTCATCCCCAGCTGAATGACCGTGACTGTAGAGTAATGTCCTTTTCCTGACCTATGTGTGCCCCTATCTACTATGTGCAGCCCATCAGGAGAGGTTATTGTTCATGACACTATCTCTGACGTTTGTCTTTGCCCACATGCTGGAGACTGTCCCTACTTTCGACATCTAGGAAGGTCTAAGTGAGCCTCAACTTATTTCAGCCAAAATGACTGGGTTACTTGAAACAATGACACAGTGCTCCACTGCTAACCTCACCCTCCTGCACTGATGCAGGTAGGGAGCACTCATGCCAGCAGATCTGCTCTCACTTCTGTAAGAGGTTACCCTCACAGAAGGAGCACTATAACAAAATGAAGCTGTACCACTGGCCAGCACCTCCTTCCACAAGTACAATTATTTCCAGTGCTATCCACACATGAGGATCTGAGCCAGTGTTATGTTCACACTTTTTGATTAAACTAGTACAAATATTTGTCTTTCTCTACCTCAAAAACCACTTCTAACCTTTCCATATAATTAAATTGTCTTAATTTGTGCACTGACAGTTTACAAAGACAAATGGTTGACATTGTGCAAAGATATAAACCACTCTCATTTTTCATAAGACTGAGTCCAAAGAGTTTTGTTTGTTTCAGAAGGAATTATGAGTTCACTTATGTTCTTGTTGAGATCAAGGAGGCTTTTTTTGGCATTGGCTTGAGTGGGATAATTACTGAACACTACATAACATTTTAAAATTATTAGATTAGATGGTAGAAAGAAATTCTTCACTATGAGAGTGGTCAGGCACTGGCACAGGTTGCCCAGAGAAGCTGTGGATGCCTCATCCCCAAAAGTGTTCAAGTGCAGATTGGATGGGGCTTTGAGCAACCTGGTTTCCTCCACCAACGTGGTCGAAGGCGTCCATGCCCATGGCAGGGGTGCTGGAACCAGATGATATTTCAGGTCTCTTCCAACCCAAATCATTCTATGATTCCACGATTTCAAGATTTTCTTCTCTTTGGGAGGTGACCTGAAGCTACCTACTGAGTGGCAAAAGGCCTTTATTTACACCAAGGCTTTCTACAAGTCTCTCAAGTTTTACAGAACACTTCATTTTTTTTTATTAGTTTTCACTGCAGAAGGAATCAATCCACAAAATGTAGTACTGGCAAATAATAAAACTGCTGGTTTCTAGTCATTGTTAGCTGCACCACCGCCATCACCTACTTAAAATGTGATGACTGATTACAAATTTAATCCATGAAGAGAGAGATGGGGCTTGCTGCCTCTCCACCTAAATAAATTTAGCAAACAAACTCTAAATGCCAACTGCTGATAAGCCATGATATTGTGATTTCAATCTGCAGACCATGATGGAAGTGCCTCTTTAAATTAAGTGTTCTATCTCTGATTAAAACAGACTTCTGCCTGAATTACATCTGTTGTCATTGCCTGTACCTATTTTCCCAATGAAATACGTATTTCAGAGCTTTGATGCTATTTTTACAATTCTTAAGTTAAAAATAAGTACATAAAATAGTCACCGCTGTTTTCAATATATCAATATTTTTTCTATAAAATTCAAATAAACCAAAATAGTACTTTAAAACAACAACTGAATTGGTCAAACTTCTAATCTGAAAACTCCACAACCCTGGGAAACTTAGGATCAGTGTGTGATCTCTTGCATTCTCTTTTGTAATGAGCTGGGCACTCTGAGCACTAAAGTTAAATCCAAAATAAAAATCCTGACATAAAGTTAATCCAGCTCTATCCACTCTGGGCTCACCTTCCAAATTATGCATCTTGGTGGGCTTGTTTTCATCTCGGTACAGTTGCTGTTTTCAACAAATAAGTTTTTTTTTCCTCTCTCTCTTCACAAGTTTCCCTCCCTCTCTCTTGCCACACTCCCTGCCCTTGACTTCTCCTCTAAACCACTTCCTTCCCATATGATTTCCAAATTAATCATTTTGCTCTCTCCCTCCCTCCTCTCTATCCCATTTTCCTCACTTCATCCTGTTTCCTTGCCCAATCAAAGATCTCTTAGTCACAAGTTTCCTCATTCCTCCTCTTTTCCATAAATGTTACTTACATGACAGTAGCAGCTCATTGCAATTTTTTAAAACAGTTTCACAGTTAATCCTCATTGAATTAATCTCTAAGTATATCCTTTTTATAAAAAAAAAAATCCATAATACAGTACTGGGTATTCACCAGAAGAGGTACTCATTTTAGAGGAACAGATATTGAAAGTCTTGATTATGATCAGTTGAAACTATGAAACATTACAAAGAGAGCTGATTTAGAAGCAGCTCTCATGCTGAGTTACTCCAATTGTAAGATAAGCAACATTAGTTTTGTATAGGCATCAGCCAAATAATGTAAATGTATCCGCTTTTCTTTTGGATCAATGGATTATCTTGCTGTGCCTTGTGTGGCAGTGGTAGAAATTTGCACCTATCATCCAGTTTCACAAATAAGTACGTGGTCTTCCTCAGAACTCTTCAGTTTGAAAAGCCAGTTGACCTGAGAAAGAGTCCTACCTCACCAAATATCTTCATTTGAGGGAGTGAAGTATCTTGAGGAGAGTTCAACTTTCAAAGGTGGCATAACACAGTCAACAGATTCGAGATACAGTGGAAAAAAATATCAGCATAGACAGAGAAATCCACAAGAAAGAACTGGACTACGCAGGGACTAAAAAGTTGCAGACATTACAAACTACAAAAACAAGAGAGAAAATAAAATAACACTCTTAGATTTATGTTACTGAAGAAAGGAAAATAAAAAAGAATTTCAGACTGCTATGCTGACATTAATTAAGGTTTACAGCATCCCTAAGAGCTTTGGCAGACTTGTTCCCACTTTTATGGGAAGAAAACGATATATTGAGAGATAAAACATTGTAACAGTGCAAAGACAGGGTCCTGTTTCGAGGTCAGCATGAGACGTGACTTTGGTCAGTTCCTAGTTTGCATCATAAAAGCAGGATTCGGATTATAGCAATTTCATGCAGTTATAAATGCAATTCCATTACTTCCTCTCCTCTTCTTTAATCATAGAGGCTATCTTGTTTCTGTTCAGAGTACAGCACCTCCAGACACTTCGGCAGGGTCAAAACCACTTCATTCTTCACAGAAAATTGTATGCTGGTGGTGGCCACATTCTCATTAGTTTTAAATGAAGATTAAAACCAGGGGAGTCAGGCTGACACAGAACCAGTGTAGTGAGATCAGCATGATGCAATTTGTCTCTGAGGTAAAATTAGTCAGTTCAGCCATTCACAGAAAATCATTAAGACTATAAATAAGACTCCAAAGACCAATAAAAGAAGCATGAGGGAAGAGAACGATAATTCCATATTTACAATGTCTATATATGCATACACATTTATGATCATTGTTTTGGGATTAGGTAAATAATAAGCATCAATTTTGCCAGGTACCATTTAGTGCTTGTAGTTGGACTTGTCTGTAGACCTCACAGGAAAAATAGGTCTTGGCAAAGCAGTTAGAGAGGAAAAGAATAGTAGGTTTACAAGTCTTTAAAAACGTTAAGGTGTGTTACTAAATGCATTATTATAGGTACTGAGACTAATCAAGTTCTGCAATAGTCATCAGTTTCAGTGAAGAGACCTGTTTGCTAGAGTTAAGTTTGTCCCAGCAGCAAGATTTATGTGAAACTACAGTGTAACAGATTATAGGACAAGCATTGCTTCATTCACACACACTGGTCTTCAGGGTCATCCTAGATGCAACCAACGTGTGCTCTGTCTGCAGCCAACTGCAAACACTTCTCAATTATTACTGTAATTCAGGTGACAGCTGTAGGATCCCTTTTCAAATGGTACCATCACACGTCTAAACACACGTTCTCTAAATTGGGTGCCAGCACTGTTTTTGCATAGAGTACTATGAAATTCTCCCTGGGGGATAAACCGCTACACCAGTACAAACAACATGTGTCTACAAAGTGAAGTTTTGGAGAACAGAAAAGCCTGGATGCAAAATTTTGTCAACACATAAGTGCCACTCTTGAGCACTTGTCCCTAAGCATGTAACAGATCTACCACTCACAAGCATTATTCACCTGCCAGGAAGCATGTGGGACCCCTCTCAACTTTAGAAACGGTTTGCATACCAAAACCAGATATCCAGAATATTTCACCCAAAACAACAAACCTCCCGCCCCTGGAGAGAAAAGGCTGTTTACTCTATTATACCAACATTTAGTATTGCAACACTCAACATACATGTTAATACATAAACTACATTGTTCCAACCCTATCCTTCTCATTCCTCACTATTCCCTCTGTTGCTATCAGCTTGTTTAATTTATTGTAAGATATAAAATCCTTATTATCATTAGTTATGTTTTAGGTACCGTAAACATTTGTAAAGCTAAGCAATAGGAGGAAAATATTATTGTGATATTATTAAAACAAGAACAGGGTGAAACAAATGCGTGATAATTATGAAAGATACTGGGGTATGTTTGCACAACTTGGGTGTATTTTTAGGACACGGTCTGTCCTAGTGACAGAACATACAAGAGAAAAGGAATTTCTGAGTGTTACACTGAATGCTTTTATTGGTTTTCTAAATATTCCGGACTAAAGCCTCTCTTGCAGTGTTTCTTATAACGCAGAGAAAATATTTTTCCATCCCATGGGCGTACTGTGAGAATTACTCATCTGGTACATAGATAATTCCCAGCAAATAAAAATGCCTCCAGTCATAGTTGGTGTTACCTGTTCCTCACAGCTTCTGTGGCACAACAGCTGACTACAGCCCAGTGGGCATATCACCAGTTGTTGTGGGGATGCCTATATATTTCTGGACAGGCTATTAAATGAGGAGAGAACAAATAATTCATGTTTTCTGTGTTCAACTGCAGCTTACATAGCATGGTTTTAATAGGAACATATCATCTGCCTCTTATAGCCTCACTCAAGCTGAAAGCATTGCTGGGAAGAACTGGCTTGCTGTGCAACTTCTGTCAAGTGGTGCTGCTAGAAACAAGGGTTCATCTTTAAAACCAGAAATATAGGGAAAGCGAGCACCTTTGCTGGGTACCGTTCCTTGTTTCCAAACACTTTATAATTGGCTGAGGAAAACACAGTAACATTAAGTAAGTGAAATATCCACACCCATCATATCTCTGGCAATTGTTCTTTAGTTCACTTCCCTACCAAGGGGTGTGCCAAAGTCCAAGAGGCTAACATCCCTTTGACTCTTAGTCTTCTGCCTTTTCCCTCTGCTACCCTATTAATGGTTAATCTATGGTGATGATGAACTTGGACGATATGTCTCCAACCCCTATAGGAAGGTGTGATCTGAACTGATCCACCCACACTGGCAACAACAATTTATTTTTATTGCTGTCATCAGTGTTCCCCACCCCCAGCTTCAATCACAATTTCCACAAGTTCAGTGGAAAGCAAGCAGGAAATGCCTTACTCTCACAGTAAAACTGCCTGTGTGCCACAGCTTTGGAGAGGGCTCCTGCCACGGAGGCACTGCGGTGACTTTAGTAGACAAGGGCCAGCAGCACCCCAGATACTCGCACAGGGCTCCTGTCGTACTAAGGATGTATCCCAGCACAGGAAGGAAATCCTTTCCTTGTCCCTGTCCTCTCAGTTTAATCTTATCTTCTACCCATTACAAGCTTACTTATAGTTGTGGTAGTTTCTAATATTTCTGGGAGGGTTTTTGCGTAAAAAGCTCTTAGAATTACATTCTCTGCACATTTTTTCATTCACCAAGAGTAGGCAGGAGTGTTTTTTCCTTCGAAAGGCTGTTGTTGAAGCTGATGGATCCCCTTCCCAGGCTCATTGACAGAAAGGCGACTTTTACCAGACCTACATCCAGTCTGCTCTGCCTTTTCACACATACAGGGTAGGAAGTACTGTCCTCTCTAGCTTCATACCAGTGAGTTTATATACACCTGAGTGAATCCGAGCAAACATATGGGACTTTCATTGTGTTGTGTATTTCATCTTCATGGTGAAATGTAAGACTGCTGATGTTTTATATCAGCTGATAAAAAAACCAGTTTAAAAAGAAAAAAGTGTAATATAGATGCTTGTTACGCCAAAACTCAGCTGAGGGTCTTCTGTTGGTTAATGAACTGAGGAAGCGGATGCCTGAGCCGTTTCCTTCCCTGGAGCTCCAGCAGACACAGGACTTGGTGGGCTCCTGGAGAACACTTGAACTCCACCAATGGCTGGTGACCTTCGGGGGCTATACTGTGTTCCCCCCCTCCCCCAACTGTTGAGGAAGGACGAACTGAAGTTACGGGCTGACTTACAGATGACATTCAATGCCCTGCGGTAGCCTGAGCACCACAGCACATCCCTTACACCTTTGGCAAAGAAAAGAGTGGCCACCACACGCTGCTGGGCCGCTGCCATTTTCCACCCTGGAGTCGGGCCCACTCCCTGATGCCTGGAAAAAGATCAATGCACAGTCCTCTGATTTGCTTCTGCCGTTGAGTCTATACTGCTTTAAAATAAAACACGTTGATGAACAAGAAAATCCTTCAGCTTTCTGAACTGATGTGGGTTTCAAACGTCTGCGAAACGAGCTTGTTTTCCGGGCCCGTGCTGGGGTGGCACGGCAGGCTCCTCGGGGAGGGGAGGCACTTTTCAAGTGAGGACAGAACCGCCACGAGCCGACTCATTTTCTGTCACGTTTTTAGCCCTCGAAGTGCGAGGCGGCCGGGGTCCCTGCTCGCCCTGGAGCTCGGCAGATACCCTCGGACACGGATGGCCAACACCCTTGGAACAGCAGGCAGGCGCCGCTCCCGCTGCCTGCCGGCCTAACGAGGCTAGTGGGATCTTTACTCAACAGCCTAATTGCCGGGGAGGCGGCTGAGAGGAACCAGGCCGGGGAACGGCGGCGGCTGTCCTCTCGGCTCGGGGGAGACCCCCGGAGGGATCCGGGGGGTGGGTCCGCCCGGGGTAGCCCAGCGCGGGCGGCCCGCGGCCTCCCCTCTCCCGCCCTCTCTCCCTCCCGTATCCCTGGGTCCGCCCGTATCCCTGCATTCCCTGCTGCAGCAGCATCCCCTCCTCCCCTCAATCCCATCAGTAGCGGCGGCCCCGGGTTCGGCTCCCCGCGCTGCGGCGGCGCTCGGCGGCGGCTCCCCCCGCCGCGGCCGCCATGTTGGGCTACTGCGCGCTCGGCGGCGGCGGCGCCTGCCGCGTGTGACCGCGGGAGGGAAGGAGGGAGGGAGGGAAGGAAGGAGGGAGCGGCGGGGGAGAGGAGGGCGCGGAAGCGGAGGGAGGGAGGGAGCGAGCCGGGGAGGGAGGGCACCGCCGCTACCCCTCCCCGCCGCCCCGCGCACGCACACACACACAGAGACACACACGCATCCCGCACACGCACCGCCCGAGGATGCCCTTTGCCCGGGGGGGCGAAGCCGGGAGGGCATCGCGCCGCCGGGAGTGAAGCCACCGCCGCCGTCGTCGGGGCCTCCCGGCCCGCAGCGTGCGGCCGGAGCGGGGACGCCGGCGCTTCCCCTCCGCCCCAGGACGCGCACCCGGAGGAGGAGGAGAAGGAGGGCGCCGTCTCCGCAGCAGCAGTAGCAGCCGCCGCCGCAGCCATGGGAAGGATTTGACAGGGCTCGGAGCGCTTTTGCCGGTGTGTCGGGGCGCGCGTCCCGCCCGCCGCCCCTTGGCGCAGCGGAGGAGAAGGGGGCGACGATGAAGACTTTAGTTTTTTTGAATCACTGAAAAGCCTTAAAAGGAGACTCGGTAAGGAGGAGGAGGAGGAAGGGAAAGGCTGCCTGGGGCAGGACGTGGCTGCGCCCTGAGGAGGGGGGGCTGCGCCCCACCCCGCGGTGGCCGCGGAGGCGCTGCTGGGGCCGGGGGAGGCGGCGGGGTCGACGGGGCTGCGCGGCCCCCTCATCCCTCCCTCCCCGCCGGTGTGCGCCCTCGTTTCTTCGTCCTTTCGCTTATATAAACACGTAAATACGCCTGTTTTTCCCTTCCCATCCGTTCTGGGAAGCGGATCCGGAGGGGCTGTTATCCCGTGGTGCTGCGGCGGGGCTCCTCTCAGGATTGCGCTGCATGATCTGCATCGGGAATGAAGGAGAAGACCTTCTTAAATATATAAGTGCGTGTGCCTGGGCACGCACAGTGAAATCGGTGTCAGTCAGTCTCGGCTGAATTTGAGTGCAATTATTATTATTAAAGCACCAGGAGTGGCCATATATTCCCCCCCCCCCCCCCTTCTTATTAAACCTATTACATTTTTTTATGTATAACTATTTTTTTCGCTTAAAAATCATATGTACACAGATATACACACTACATGTGTGTGTCTGAAACTCCAAGGGTTTGGTTTCAGGCTGGGAACACCGAGGTAGGCTGGAAATTAAGCACTGCCACGGTTTGAAGCTTGTTAAAAATACTGTTGACTTCTTTTTAAACAACAAAACCCTCAAAAGTTTTTTTTTTGTTGTTTTTCTGACAAAGTAATAATAATCATTAAAAAAGAAACCCCAATGCAAACTGAAACAACCATGTCTGGAGAAGTGCGTTTGAAGCAGTTGGAGCAGTTTATTTTGGATGGGCCAACACAGACTAATGGGCAATGCTTCAGTGTGGAAACCTTGCTGGATATACTCATCTGCCTTTATGATGAATGTAATAATTCCCCTCTGAGAAGAGAGAAGAACATCCTTGAGTATCTGGAGTGGGGTAAGTTTGAATGTGTTTATTTTGTGTACATCCGTCCATGTTCCTGCCTGCTTTGTATAATGTCTCTGTTATTTATGTGTAAGAGGGATTGTTTATAACACAGTGTTTTACCGGGAAGTGTTATCAGTTTTACTGGATTTAAACGTGGTGGTGGTGCTAAAAAGAAATCCATATTGGTTATTTGTCTTCGAGGCATGTACGTAAAACATACTTCGTATTTTTTCTTTTTTTTTGACTTGGATCAGACTCTGGTACTTGAGGCATATTTGTTTGCCTTCAGGCCCAGCTGTTGAGTTTTGTTTCCTAAAGTTGCTGGGAATATAGAATGGTAAGGGTTAAATTCGCTGATGCCTGGTAAAAGATCAATGCATAATCCTCTGATTTGTTTCTGCCTTTGAGTCTATACTTCTTTAAAATAAAACATGTTGATCAACAAGAAAATCCATCCCCTCTGTTAAATGATGTGGGTTTGAAATGCCTGTGAAAATGGAGATCACATTTGCTTCTTAAACAAAATCATTGCTGACTTAAGTAGATTGATTTTCCTGATGAAGAAAACAGCTGAAAATCAGAATGAAACTGTATGTGTCCCCAGCACCCTTTCCATTTTCTTTCTTCATTTTGTGGGAGATAGACTATTTGCAGATCTTTAAAGGAAAGCAGGTGAATGATAGCATGCCAGTTCTTCTTAAGTTGTCACAGAACTGGTTGATTCAATTTTTTTCTTTTTAATTCTCTTTCTTCCTCCTCCTAAACTCAGATATAAACCAGAAGATGCAGTCTGACATAAGAACCTTGATGAGAATGGTTGCTGTATCTGACCTTCAAACTTCAAAGTCATGCTGCACTTCTGCATTTGCATGCAGAACCATTTACCACATTTGCCTTGTAATAAATACATCAGCAGGCCTCCTTTATTAAAAAGCACGTTTTTGAAACACGTAACAGGCATTTGATTAATTAGCTGGTTGAGCTCTTCAAAATTAAGTTGCTGAGGAAAGACATTGTTTTGATAACTGATCTAACAACTTGAGGCTGATATGTGTGTGTTTTATTTTCTTGCTCCGCACTGTAGTCATACTGACATCTAAAGGACATCTGACTCAGTAATTAAGTTTCTTGTAGTGTTCACATTGCACTGTTTTTTGTTTTCTTATTATCTGGAGAAACAGGCTATAATTAATGCATTCTAGCTAAGGAGGAAATAGTAATTAAAAGTACTTCTGAAGAATCTTCCCTCTCAAACTGTCACTGGCATACAGAAGCTATGAAAGACTGGGAAAATATGATGGCTCCAAGGGTATTTTCTATGTGGTAACGTAGTGTAGTCTGCAGTGGATCTAGCTAGCTGATATCCTGTAAATAATAATAGTCAAGTTAACCATATCTAGATGGTCAGAGTAACAGTGTGTTTGAGACCCATTGTATTGGATGCTTGGTGGTTGCTTGATGGGCAAATGCATCATTACAAGGCTCTGACAGTACCTGAAAATTTCTGCAATAAACTTTCCAGGCTGCTGATGGAAATAATACACTGTTTTGGAAAGGCTGGAATAAGATTTCTTGCTGCCCTATTTTTCCTGCTATTTTTCCACTCTCATGCTCCAGCTGTGTCTTAGCAGTACTCTTGAGCTTCAGAGAAGACCAGTTCATCCCATTTCCAGGGCTGAGTTGCCTCTGTCTGCTCCCAGCTCTGCTGTCCAGACTTCTACCCTGGGAGTTTTTTCAAGAGGGTTTCTGAGGTGAAATATAAGAGCCAGCGGTGGCTGGTACCTGCCGTTTGCAGTGTCCACATGTATGATCTCTTTATCCTGCAAACACTCACCTGAGTTGTCTCTTCGGAGAGCCAGCCCTCCTGGTGAAACTAGTGATCTCTGGCATTTCTCTTGGCATCAGGGGGCTGGCAAAATCAAGCTCTTAGAGAGGTTATGTACCCTTCAGTGCTCTGGTGCAGAGAAGTTGCTAAGGCTACCCTGCGCTTTGATATAATTGTGACCTCTCACATCTCTCTCCCCAGAAGGGGAAACAATGCAAGTGGTTGATTAGAAAGAGGTTATATGTGGTTTTAAGGTTGGGGATGTGCTGAGTAGTGGCAGAAGTGGAAGGCTGGCAGCCAGAAATCCTGGACTCTGCCCCCACCTCCCTGAATGACTCAATGGTGAAGTGCTTTCAGCTCAGTTTTTTTCAGCTTCTCTATTTGAACAGTTGGAAAAGTAGCACCAATTTTACACCGGGGAGTTCTGAAAGCTGCTGTATGGGAAGCGCTCGTGGTTTTGAATGTACCATATGAAATAGTGTGTATTAATTTATTTTTCCCATCAGTGAAATGAAACTTTATGCCTGGTGTTTCTACTGGTGGATGTCCGTTGGTTGCTGTCTTGGAAACGCATTTTCTTGGTTTCTGCCAAGCATCTACAGATCTGCTCTATTACTATTAGGAGTGCAATCTGAATGTATCGAAACTGGTCATGGAATGGTATGAATTTATGTGTTTACAAGGTGCAAAGTACAGATTTACTCCTGAGAACTGATCATCATCTTAAGCTACATTTCTGGTTTTGTTTTGGTTTTGTTTTTTTTTTTAATTATTCTTTACAGAAATGAATAAGATTTATTTATATAGTCCGTTATTTTTAAGAAAAGGCTAAGAAATAGCTGTTCGGTGATCACAGACTCCTGTTGAGCAGCAAAGAATTTTTTCTTGCTTTTCAGTGGTGCACTTGTAAAGGTGCTACTGTGTGGTTTTGGGGGTGGGGTTCTGTTTGTGGATGTGTATTTTTATATAAGTTGCTGAGAAGTTACATGCTGTATTTCACGCAAGACTGAAGCACGATCTAATTTTTTTGGGGGAAAAGGTTTAGGAGGTATTCCAGCACGGAAAAGCTAATGTCTTAATGACAGCCATGTGACTGCAGCTATATTTAGGGCAACTAAGAAGCTTCATGTTCTAGTACTTAGATCTTTTAGGACTATTTTATGAGCTTGTTATCTAGAACTATAACATACTAAAAAAAATGAAGCAGGGTGAAACAGTTTAGATCTGAACTGGTTGTTCACCTTTTGTTTTGGTCTGATGTTACAGGTTTAATTCAGCAAGTGGAGAAAGTAAGGTCTCTACAAGGTGAAGTTGAACTTTAAATTTTTGTAGGATTTAAGTCTTTTTTGGTCCTTGAAATTACATTAGACTAATTAGAAGTGTCAGGTTAGTTATTTTGTGATTCAGAATCTGCTTTGCTTCTAAAATCCTTTTTTTGTCTTTATTCCCTATTCTTATATGGTATTAGTTTTGTGACATATGAATAAGATCTTTTGATTTTGTTGTTTATTTTACATAGGTGTCCTGTATGCTAAGACAACAATGGAAACAGCCATTGTATTTGAGTTCTGAGGGTTAAATCGGGGCACATTTTGAGATAACAGGGAGGAAATGGAACATTTAAAATTGGCTTGTTCTATGTATTTGAGCTCAGTTTTCGTTTTTATTGGTATTGATAGTTGTATTTACGATTTAGAAAAGGGCTTGTCTAATTATAGCAACTGGAACTTAGCAGAAAAAGCTCTTGAGAATTCCAAGCACTTTGCTTTTTCTCTTCTCTGTATGAGTTGCCACACTGATGCAAGACTGTAAGGGAGGTAGTGAAGGCTGATAATGTGAACTTGAAATTAAAACATAGTGATAAAAAGAAACGTTTGGAGGTGGTCTTGTTCTGTGAAAAATTCCTTTACAATGGCTCCAGTTTGAATTGGTTTTAAAAAGAAACTAGAACAATGTATTTAGGATACGTTGAAAGAATACTAGGATAAACTTCAAAATGTGTGTAGATTGAAGGGAGGGAAGATGTAGAGCACCACTAATAGCATGGTGAAGTCAGTGACTTGATTGAATCTGTGGTCTTCTAGGAAAAATGTAAACTGTCCTTTAATCGTTTTTTTCTTCTTACCAAAGAAGACTCTGGAAGATGGGTTAAACTGTTCTAATTTCCTCTCCAGTAGAACTCAAAAGTTGTGGTGTTTATGCAGGGCTGTTATGGTCATAGGCTAGACTGTCATCATTGCTCTCATGCTTCTGTTATTCAGATGTGCAGCATCTCATCTGGATATTGAAAATGGTTCTATCACCATGCAACTGATATTTTTCAAGACAAATTGTGAGGAGGTTGTCTGTGTTTTCTTTCTGATGATCTCTCTCGTTTTTTTTTTCTTAAG